TAATAATAATAATGCCTTTTGATGTTAATAACATGAGCTTAATAACAGCAGTTATCTTTTAAGTTTTTCGTGAAAAATCTGCTGAGTTTGTAGTATAATAAATAATAATTTAACAAAATTATGAATGAAAAGAATAATTTTTAACAAAACTGAATTATTACTCTTACTTCTGTACAATGTTTTTAAAGTCGTTAGGCAGAAACAACTGAGAGTGTATGTAGACTTTTGACTGTCAGTGTATATTTTTAAATTTTATTTTATCTGTTAGTTTATTCACACCATGGGATACTCTTTAATTAATTATTAATTATTTAATTTAATTATTATTAATTTAAAATTTTATTGAATACAAAATACACCCGGTATTAAAGATGCTTTGTACATATTTTTGTTTATTTTTTCAGAGTTATTTATCCTGCAAATACCGTGAATCACATCTGATGGATGAGTTAGGGGTAAGTAACACTCATCTCTATTTATGAATAAAATAAACAATGGGTTTTAACGATTTTATATGACACCAAAAAAAAAAAAATATAAACTGAAAAATAAGATTTAAATAACAAATTTGGATCTGAGCGTGAAAATATTGCAAAGTAGGCAATAACTTTTAAGTAATAATCAGCATTTATTTAACGTTATATATACATACTTCGATGATGATAAATTCGAGATACAAATTGCATTATATAAACAATAATTCATTATTCACTTATTTTTTTTATGTATTTTGATTTGTCTGCATTCGTACATACATATGATATAAACAAAAATATAAATGCAATAATGCAAAAAATATAGTCATGTTTGAAGAATCTGAACATCTGATTTTCGTTAATTAATTAATTTACTATTTTATGGATTAATTAGTGGTAAGTTTTTGCTTAAATTAACTTAAAATTATTATATCACTTTAAAGACCATATGGTCTTTAAATTATTAGTTTGCCACCATACATGGTTTTAATCGATTGTTTTTAATTCCTTGTCACTACAGATGTTTTCTTCTACGACTTCTTTTAATTTTGGTTCTTAAAGGTGTTTGTTGAGTTAATGGTCATAAACATTCATTTCAAATTGTATTTGGCCAAGATACTTTAACAATTTTGGGTAATGACTGATTTATGAAAACTTATAGTGCATTGATGCCGTTTGCCGCAGCATTCCAAGATTGACATCCATATAGGAGGCAAGATGTTATGTTGGAGTTAATTATTCCTATTGCAGGATAACTGAGATGATCTACACAGACTTTTTTAGGCGACCAAACACTTGTTTTGGCTTCTTGATACGGTTTTCAATATCAGTACTGGATCCACCATTTGTTGGTGGATCCTGCTATTCCAAGATAGCAGAAAGACTTTACAGCCTGAAGGTAGCAATTTTTTATAATAAAAGGACCTTGACCGTTAGCATTAATGCGTATAAATTCTGTTTTGGTGACATTGATTTTAAGTCACGCTCTGTTTGCCGTTGTTATCAAACGATTTGGGTTGCGAGACATGTCATTATATCTGTGTGCCAGCGGACATAAGTCAACGGCGTAATCGAGATCACTTAAGCTATCTTGAAGACTCCAAGTTATTCTGCCACCTTGGCCCAATGCCTTTGTCAAGACTACGTACAGGACAATGTTGAATAGCAACGGCGACATTACGCAACCGTGTTGAACTCCGGTTAGTTATGAGTATTTTATCGCTTAGCTATCTTTCGTGCAGTACCCGGCAACTGGCACCCTCGTGTAGGGCTCTGATGAGCCTGGCGATCTTTTGCGGCACGTCCTTATGATCAATCGCGTTCCAACTGACTGTGTGACATTTTGCATTAAAAACCTTTTCAAAGTCTTTAAATAATAAATAGAGAGATGATCCCATTCTGCTGATCAACGATTACTCTTAGGCTGTTTATGTGATCAATACAAGACTTGTGAGATCGGAATCCAGCTTGAATAAATTTTTATTTAATTATAATATGACATTTTGCTTATGTTGATGCGCATTTGAAAATTATAGTAAAGACTGGAGTAAAACTTTATTCGGTCTCTGATTATCAAACATGTTGATCACTACGAATTATATATTGAAGAGTTTTGGTGAGATGAAAAAAAATTCCATAACTAATTAGTTTCAAAAAATTGAAATTCTACATTTATATTTAAAATATATAGTTATAAACATAGTTATAGTTGTATAAGTTATATTGAATAACTAAAGCTTCAATAAGGTAAGTCACAATAATACATGTGAAGAATTTATATCAGATAAAGGTTCAGTAAAATATAAAAAATAAGACTAGGTAATTTAGATTCAATACTACTATATATTGTAAAATTTTGTTCTAGAGAAATAGTCATAATCCACGAACGATTACAGCAAGTCTTGGGATAACAAGTTCTGTTACTTTTGGGGTGTTTCCATATATGTTAATCGTCATGAGTAAAATTTTTATATTACTTTTATTTTATTTAAGAGTATTATATGTAGTTAATATAACATAACTATGATCTATGATATATGACTACATAGTAAGTTTGATAAATGCAAAGTAAGCACGGCGTTAGTTGTGTTATAACATGTCAGCATATATCTTAAATTTGACAGTTTTTAATGCAGTTTTAAACTGAATAATGGTAGTTAAAGTCCATAAATATTTCCGTAGCCTACTGACGATGGATACTTAGTTATAAAAACTAAAATAATTGCATTTCACTATTTTTCTTTTATTAAATGTTTGATTTTAATATCAGTTATGACGGCAGTGATTGTTTTACTTAATATAAACTCTAATATTTAATTGAGAGGTTTCGAATAGTAGTTAATTGCAAGAACAAAAACTTTTATTTAGTTAAATTAATTGAATTTTTAGCTAAACACACAGCTATTTCGAGTATTACCAAGTATTCGTCATCAGTGGTCTTGGAATATAATTTTTTTGGAAACGTCTTCATTTCTATTTAGTAAAATAATCATTGCTATCATAACTGAAGATAAAATCAAAAATTTTATATATAATTGTAATGAAAATATAGATATAAATAAAAAATGTATTAAATTTTCAATCTCACTTGTACGAATCGTAAAGTAATATTACCATGACTTTCTCCGTATCACGTTCCTATATTAGGTTCTCTATATAAGTAAGAATAATAAAATCTCGCAATAAATAATGTCTTTACAAAAAATAGTATGAAAACTTTACAATAAAAATTAACTATAACTAATTAATTCAATTATTTTATAGCTGGTGAATTTGTCACATCAAAATAACAAAACTCCAAGTTTGAACAAGCCAAGTACGCCTTTGGAACGATTGACTAATGAACATCGACTCTGAGCTTCAAATTTGGCAGTGTACGAGTTTAACCCTTACTATTTGCAATCTCAAAAAAATAAAAAGCTGATGTTTTTTTTCCCATAAGATTATTTTTATAATTACAGGATACACATATAGTATATAAATAAGTCTATTTACAAAGAGCAACTTGCATATTTTTGATAATTTCGACAAGTAATACTTATTTTGTACAAAATTTGTTTTTGGTACCTTCTTTGAACTCATTAATTAAAATCAGCTGAACATGGCTATAAGCAATTGTGTATATATCTGTCTATGTCAGGTCACTATCTATTTATCTATATATCTATTTACCTATCTCTATCTTTTCTATCGTACTTAAAATTGATTTTCTTCTGGTAAATCGTAATACCATTCATTTTATTTCTCTGTGCCTTAGGAGAAATCTGGTCTCCAGAACGATGTTACATTAGACGTTTGAACAAAATATTTGTATCATATTTATTTTATTATTTATTTAAATTATTTTACATATTTTATTATATATCACATATATGTATATATTTATTTTTTAATATTTTTATATTATATTTTGATGGGACATAAAAATGAAAATCTGAATGCTAAGAACAGGAAGCTGATATATACCCAAATAATTCATCCGTCACTTTTATATGGTTGTGTAGCGTTTAGCAAGGTTTCAAACACTACTATTCGCCAGCTAGAAATTGCACAAAGTCAGGCTTTGAGAAGACTTTTTAAAGTACCATGGTACATTAGGACGAATGACATCGTCAGGGACCTTAAGATTCATCCCATCAAAAAATACATAAAGAATAGAGCCCTGAAATTATTTGCTAAAACTGTTAGACTTACCAACACCGCGTTATCAAATCTCAGAATGGTTACAGGGTCCTCGGGGAGGTATGCAGATCTGAGATCAATTATTGCTTAGTCTGCTGAAGTGATAAACAATAATCTAGTCAAAGTGTAAAGAGGGGTTTTGAAATTACCTCGAGTTAAGAAAGTGTAAAAGTGCTAATAAAATCGTAATAAAAATTGTTTATTAGCGATTATATGATTTATACCGATTCTATTACCGATTTAGGTATGCAACATAGAATTTAAAAATGTTTAGATTAAGAAAATGTTATACTTTTCATAAATTAAGACAATAACCTTATTTTACACTTCTTCAAAATATTTTTCTTGGCTTCCATATTTATAAGGTTTATCTTTACAACATAAGTAAGCGGGTTTGTATTTGGTTTAATATATTTGAAAGGCTCTGTGTGGAAAAAATCTATTGATTGGGTCTTGAAAATATGTTTTTTCATTTATTTATTTTTCATTTATTTTTTATTTATTTTTAAGTTGCTGTCATTTATTTTTCTGTCATTTATTTTTCTGTAATTTATTTTTCAGTTTCTTATAAGAATCAAATTCATTTTTTAGGTTCAGTGAATATCTTTTGAGATGTTTTAATTTTTTTTTAATATACACGTTGATCTCGTAGCTCCTTGCAATATAAATAAGTCACCGTTTCTTTGTTTAAAATAAAACTAAATAAAATTTAAAATTATTTCTTTATTAATCAACTATTTAATATAGACTTAAAATAAAAAAGTGATATTTTAAGAAGATTATAATATAATATATGATATAATTTCGTGGTAATTAGATAAGTTATTAATTAAGGATTTAATGATAAGTTTTGTTTTTAAGCTTCTAAGTTAGTATCTCCGTTTTATATTATTACTACAACACACAATCCAGTGGCACTGAAGGACCGTGGATACTGTTGTTTTGTGCGAAAGATGGTCCCCACGGATCAGAATGTGTTACTATCGGTTGACTTATACCTAACATTAAAAAAAAAATATATAAAATTAAATATAAGATTTATTTTTTTTTGGAAGGTAAAAAAATGTACCGGATAATATAAATTTTAGAATAAAAGGATAAAATATTTACCGGAGCAATTGCGACATGATAAATTTTGGAACACATATATTAAACAAATTATCAGTCCAAGAAGCGACATTACACCGAATGAAATGCCAATGAAAACGGAGTTGATTATATCCAAACGATCATATAAATGAGTGGGATTTGAGTTGTTGTACCAATCACGTGGTGATTTTCCTTTAATAATTGACGCAAAATAGGCACAATACTTATCTCGTCCTCCAACTGTTAACTCCTGATCTATTTGATTACGAATCTTGTTTAAAGAATCCGTAACGTTACATGCTGTTATTTCAACCTTCACTCCAAGTTTGCGCATCTTGACGATTGAAATACTCAAAATATCGTCGCACTTCAAGGTATTATTGTTTAAGTTTAAACATTTTAAGTGTTGTGTATAAGTAAGAGTATCAGAATTTAAAGTCGTAATCAAATTATCAGACACGTTAAGTTCCTCCAATTGTGGCATCTTCCGAAGCATTTCTTTAGTGACTTTCTTGAGTTGCGTATTGCGTAAATTCAGTGACAACAACGACTTGCAATCTATGAACGGTGCATCCGTTATGGAGTTGAATTTGTTACCTTCTAAGTTGATGGAATGTAGCAGTAAATTTGCTTGGAATATATTTCCATTCAATGTCTCTAAGCGGTTATAAGAAAGGTCAATGGAATGTATATGTTTAAGTTTTCCAAATGCATCATCATTAATAGAATCAATAGAATTATGCGATAGGTTAAGGTGTACCACATTCTTGAAATTCTAAAAGATGTGAAATTACAAAGAGATTCATTTTCATAAACTCCACGATATGCACTCACCGAAAAACAAAATCCATTTACTTTTGTTATATTCTTGTTGCTCAGGTTCAATTCGTCAAAAGTCGAGTTTTTACCTGCAGTGTCAGTGAGGTTCGCTTGGCTAAAAAATATTTTTTTGAAAAATAATATTTAAATGAATTAATTGTGTTCTGGACATGTTAAAATCTTGTATAACAGAAATGAATACACTATATATGCTATGAATGAGTTATGAATAGGTTATACATATAGTTCTATGTAAACTACAGAAGTATGTAGATATATTTAGAGTTCTATACAAATTTATAGAGAAAGTCTTAATTTAGTTTAAATATAACACAACAAGTGAATTCAAAACCCAGAGTTATACTAACCCGTATAACTCTGGGTTAGTTGAATGTAAATATTTGCTTAGCATTTGAAAAGGTTTATGTGTATTATTCACCGATTGTAAGTCATATACGAATATTTAAATCAAAGACATACCTATTTCCGAAGACCACATTTAATATGTATTTGGCAATACTTAATATACCTATGTAAGTCGTTAAAAACTTAATTAATTAAAATATATAATTTTGATGCAATTCACTGATGTTAAAACTGATGTTTCAATTTAATAAATATTTTAAAATAAATTCTTTATGTCTTATATAAAAATATTTACTACAAAGTGTAGTGATTAAATGAAAAAAATGAATCAAAATTATATAGCTGATGTTTATGCGTTAATTCTAATAGTAGCACAACTAGTGCATATATGGCTTTCTTTAAAGAAATAACAAAAATCGTTAAAACTCTGAATTTGAAACACTTAAAATAACGTATTCATCGATTTTGTATATTAGGGATGAGTTTACGATTTGAATTTTCTGGGATTTAATTTTATTATTTACAGTCCTTAATTATTATATACAAGTGTTTAAACCAATAAATGTAGTGTTTGATGTACTGAAATTGTTTTAGATCACGCTCACCGGTGCTTAAGAAGGCGACACCAGAACTCCTGTTTTGTCTTTGTCCAGGTTTATTTATATCCAGGTTTTAACTTGTGGTTGTTGCATTTATTAATGAACTTAGCGAATTATCAAATATAATTATATATATAACAATTAATAATCATTTTATATCCAATTATAATTGAACATGCTGGACTTTCTGCCCAGCAAATAGTATGAGTGTGAAATCCTTCTTTCTAACCTACCCGAATTTCTTACCTAATTGAGAAGGACTCGAAATTATTTTAACTGCACCTAACTACCTACATACTACTACCTCAGAAATAACCTAAGTATTTCTAGTTTGAAGTAGTTTAAAAGCATAAACTATATATAAATATTTAAATATATACTTAAAAATATTAAAGCATGAGAAAATTATATTGAAAAGTAAAAATCCATAAAATTAAAATCAATCGGAATAAATAAATTATTGGAAATTTATTTTTATGGAATTTTTTTAAAGAGGGGCCAATGCAATCTAACTATGGTTAGTCATACACTTTTCATAGATTAGTGGTTATGGTTGTTAATTTTGATAGAAAATTTTCTTTTACGGCTTTAATCCAATTGAATCGTTTTCCCCGAATTGCCAATTTCAACTTCAAGAATATAAAAATTATAAAAAGCACTTAATTGAACACATTCTGAGAATTTTTACAAAACCTGGTATATTTTAGATGCTTTTGTTTAATTACAAATTCTAAACATATTTCATATAATGTATATAATTTATTTATATCTGTGTTTCAAACCATATTTAGTCATTTGAAAAATAACATCTGTTCCTCAAATTATTTTCTGAATTAAAAATTTAGAAAATTTTGTTAAAATATGCAAAATTTTGTTAAAATATGCAAAATTTCCAACTGTTTATCTGGTATTGTATTGTTTTATTAACAGACTTTATTAAGAATATATATATATCGAATACAAGGCCCCTTCATTATAAAACTAGAATATAAATGAATCCATAAAATAATAAGTTTTTAAATA